TAGTTGTTTAAATTTTTCTACAGTGTTCATGACTCTTCAGTTTTGTGTATTTGGACATTTTAAATCAATATCTTCCTTTTCATTTTCCCATCTTTTTTACTTCCCATTGACTTCCTCCATGTGAATTTTTGGGCTTTAAACAATTTGATTGTAGAACAGTATAATCCACTGAAAGTGAATGTCCACCACTGCTCATCTTTGCAGTGTTGGCTTCACTTTCACAGGCTTTTTCAATTGTTCACAGTGTCACTTTGACATTGCACAGAATCTTAACTGTCCACGTTTATGCGTGCGTATAGTGTATGTGCGTGTGTTTATCCATGACTGAGAATAAAGCAAGTTGAGGTGAAGGGGGTGGAAGTTAATGAGAAGTGAGTGTCTGAAACCCTTTCTCTCTCTCTCTCTCTCTCTCTCTCTCTCTCTCTGCTCCAGCAGTAATCCTCTTCTATAAATCTGCAATCCAATCAGCGCTGTCCACACACATACACTTACACACACACACACACACACACACACACACACACACACACACACACACACACACACAGAGCTGTTGGGAGGCCCATCTGTGTGTTAAGGCAATCTGCTTTATCATTATGATTACATTGGGCTCAGTTTACAGCAATGTGTGTGTTTGTGTGTGTGTGTATTCTAGCGCACCCTGGCTGCCTGACATTAATCACATTCCCATGGTTTGATGGCCTAAATAAAAATAGGAATAATATTGTTGCTGTCCAATGAAAACTGCACAGCTCCAAAAACAAAAATTTTGAATTTCTTCAGAAAAAAGTTTTCATTTGAGCTCCAGGAAACAAAGCATATGAACTTTTTTAATTTTTTTATATAAAACAATTATGGTTTTTGATGGATTTATGAGCAAATGCCATTTTCAGTTACATATCAATTATAATTGACATGCATTTTCAAATGATTTGATATGTTGGCCACAAGTATATACTATATAATAATACTGTTTAATAACAATTAAAATTGGAGTTTTTTCCAAAGGTGTGTCAAGTGTATGTGTGTTTGTGAGAGTGTGTATATCAATTGTGTGACTTAATCCCATCAACACAGTTGGAGGTCAGGTGCCCTGGAGGGAGTGTTAATGTGATTTTATACCGCATGTGTGTATGACAAAAAATTCATATCCCGATATAGGTCATTTCATATCCCAATAACAATATATATCCCGAATTTTTTGTAAATTCAAATAAATACGGCATTTCCAACTGTAACTCCGGACATTTCTCTGCATTATAAAAGGTGGAGTAAGCGATTCTGGAGAAATCTAACACCATGACAAATACCATGACAGAGTGAACAACGACACAGCAGTAATGTAACTAATGTTAGCTAGGCTGTGGATTAGCAAACTGACGCTAATGTTACTCGCTGCTGCAAAGCTAACATGACAGGACGAGACTCTCCCAGAGCAGCACAGCAGCTCCAGACAGCGACACTCATAGCTCTCCTGCTGCTACAGCTAACATCACAACAACAGCATGTCTTGGTGAACTATTAAGTAAGCTGTATGTCTGTGGGCAAGTCATTTAATGTTACCTGCCTACACACACATCATGGCTGCCACTGCTGGATAGTCTTGTGTGCCTTGTCCATTATTTTTAATGCAAATTTCTTCTCTACAACACCGGCATGTGTGGAAGAACGGACCGCGGTGAAGTTAGTTTCAAGCTGAATATTAGTTTTACACGGACATCCGATAGATCTTGAATTCCAACGTAAAACTAACTTCAATGCGGTGCAATATTACGGTAAAGGGTGGAATTTGCGACACAACAATATAAACAATAGAGCAAAATTGTAAATGATAGACGATTTTTCTATCGTCAAACGATAGATATCGTCATATCGCACAGCCCTACATGTGTGTATACAATCTGTGCGATGTTTGTGTGAAAGGTTAAGTTGTGTTGAGGTGACTGGCATTTACCTTCCTCTATACTATTTACTCCCTAATTATTATTATTATTTTTTAAAGAACAGGCCCTTTTTAACATGTGTTGTCATGTCACAGTAGAAAAGGCACATGTGTAAATAAGCACATTAATGCTGGCTGAATCCCATTTAGCTGCTTCAGTTTCAGGGTCCTGCTAGTGTTCATGCTGGCTTACTGTCACTCTCCCATGACTTTTCTCGGATACTTGAAAGGTCTATTGTGAGCATATTCTTAACAATAAACATTCATAACATTACATATACCTGTACTGCAGTATTTCAGTAGAAGTCTTGAGATAAACTATGAAGCTGTAAACTTTAGATATAAAGATCTTTTTTTTTTTCATTTTTATCCAAAGCGACTTACAATTGCTAAATATGTCAGAGGTCGCACGCCTCTGGAGCAACTAGGGGTTAAGTGTCTTGCTCAGGGACACATTGGTGGATGGGTCACAGTGGGGGATTGAACCTGGGTCTCTCACACCAAAGGCAGGTATTTATTCATTGCACCATCACCACCCACCACCAAATATCTTGCTATTATTATTATTATCTGAGCTTGGTTTTGACAATTGAATTCCCCATCACAATATCAACTGTGGTCCAAAACTTGAACTACTGCAGCGGAAATAATTCAGAGTGTATCGTGTATGTCTATCTGTGTGTGCAAATGCAGTGTGTGACTTCAAGCCATGGCGTGACTTCCTAGCCCTTGGCAACCCTTTACACCTCTCATCACCAGACCTTACTGTCTGCCAACCCACACACACACACACACACACACACGCACACAAACACACACTCTCACATTGTGCTAGTAACACTCCTGTTGGTGATTGGCTGAGAGTTTGCATGAGAATGGCTTGCCAGACCTCTAATTGGCTTGACCCAGACTAACCCTGAAATCCTATTGGACTAAGACTTCCCAGTCTACACAGCGCACACAAACACAAACAAACACACACACACACACACACACACACACACACATAAAATGAAAGGCCTAACAGAGCGCAAATCAATGTTAATCAATAGAGTTCTAATAGGCTGCAATAATACATAATACATGATAGTAATGTTCATTTAGGTAGTCATGTCAGTTAGTGAGATCATGCAGCATAATGTTGTCTGGTCATAAAAACAACATCCAGAGGGTGACATGACCACTGACAAAACACATTAAATCCATATTCATCAGTATAGACTAATAGATAAAGTTTCTGCTACAATGACATCTAATGTCAGTTCAAATGATTGGAAGAGCCTGGTCACAACAAGCTCAGGTAAGAAAATATATAAATAAAAAAACATAGAACAGTAAGCCCACTTGTCACATACTCTTGCTCATTTACATATAATAGTGCAATAAGCCTACATTATGCTAATTATATACAAAACACATACTTACAATTATAGTTTTGCCGTCTGGGCATGTGGCTCTCTACCTCTTATTCAGAGAAACTTCGAATGATTAAAAGACAGAGAGAGGGAGGAGGAATACGAAGAGAGAGGAAAAGTGTGTGTCTGTTTCATGCGTCACACATTTGCTGTGTTTTAACATTAAACAAGCAGCGTATTTACAGTTTATGTTCTAAAAATGGACCGAGGCAGCCCTCAGTTTCACCTGCCTCAATCAAAACTATCCTGGTTTCCACTAGAGAACTTTAAAGTGAAATGTAACTCTGGTCAAAGCTGAAGCATGGTTTATTGCACATGCAGATGGCATTGGGATTACTACTATTGGTTGAAGTGACTGTCCTTCAACCAAATGATTTGATTTAAAGCCTCTGTGATGTGACGCATTTGCACAACTGAAGTGTCCTTGAGCCGGAAGTTGAATCCCACTTTGTTGTGATACCCCATCTATATCAGGGGGCAGAGTGGTCGTCCACTAACCGGAAGGTCGGTGGTATGATCCCCAGTTTTGTTGGGCAAGAACAACCATAAAATTCCGTGAATGTTGGTGAATGAGTTAATTTATGTTTCTGATGAGCAGTTGGCACCTTAGCAGGTGAATGTGTGTGAATGGGGTGAATGTGGTGTAGTGTTAAACGCTTTGAGTGGTTGGAAAGACTAGAAAGGCGCTATACAAATACAGACCATTAACTAGTAACATTTATCATATACTGTAAAAAGAAAAACATATGTAGCAGTGGCCATCAGGTTTATCCAGGTATTATTACATAATAGTATTTATATATAATACATTGGTAAAAAATAAAAATTGCCATCAGACAGTGAGTAACACGTTAGGAACTATTAGTAGCAAACACAGCTCACACACACTCACACGGACACAGACAAAACTATTAGTAAGAGTTAGAAGATGAAATCCTTTCTCCTCACTTAGTTAATATTAGTCTTCAACATTTCTTAAAATCAAAACCAAACAGAGAGTGAAATTTAAAATGTAGACTGGGCCACTCAATAGACAACACATTCTCCTTGCTTGTTGTCACTGATGATCAGAAATTATTTATTGTAATAACGTGGAATCTTAGCAGTCTCTCTAGGAACCCCTTTTTTTAATTGAGAAAAATATCACTAACACATCTAAAACTAAGAGAAAATAGAGACTTCTAAACTGCTTCGTTGATAGCTATACTTTAAAAGAAGTAAATAAAGACGCTTATTGCATATAGTCATTTTGCATTTTGCACATGGACACCCAAAAGCAGGGCAGGTTATTTTAAAGACAATTTAAAATACATATAACCTGAATATATATCCTGCTGCCAATGGAATAGCGAAAGGGAGAAATATCCTGTTTAGGAGAATAATCAATGAAAATTAAGAAAAGACACATAAGTATATAGTCATATTTGAATAGATCAGAGAAAAGTTTCCTCTCTCAGTGCTAAATCTCTCTCTCTCACACACACACACAGACCACAAAAAACAGTCTCAAAGTGCTTGCCTTTTATTTCTCTTTCATCTAAGGTTTATGGAGGTCATGTGTCATTTTTGTTTAAAACTGAATTGAGTTTTTCACTCTCTCTCCCTCTCTTGTTGTGTGTCTTTGGTCCTCTATTTCGTCTTACCTGGGGTTGTAGAGGGCATGTGCGTCTCTCATGTGGTTGGCCTCTAGTGGATCGTAGCTCTGGTGCATCCTCCAGGCGCCAGCGCCGCATTTACTATAAGTTGACTTGGAGTTATCTTCACTGCTGCTGTTCACCAATGGCCCCTTCGATAAGTTCATTCTGTAGACAGGAGCAAAGAGAAGGTGGGGTAAAAATAGAGTCAGTGCAACAGAAAAAAGTAGGTGGGAAAGAGCAGCTGAGACCTGACCTTTCTTATGCTACTTATGGGCGTTTAATTAACGGTTTTGCTATCAAGTAAAACATACACAATCTTTTTAAGAAAGAAAGAAAAAGACACAATACACATATAAAAAAAAAAAATAAAATGTAGAAAAAGTACAAATAGGCAAATCAAACTTCGCCTTCTTTTGTTTACGTTAACTATTTCTCAGTACACGAATCTAATTTCCTGTTTCAATTCAAATGAGGAATAAAACTATAGCAATACATAGTAAACAAAAACAATTATATATCTAAAATTGAACTAAAAAACTTTCAATGGTCAATACATTTTAAATTTAAAAAAATAAAAATAAAAAAACAGGTTAGGACACTAACTGGGATTCAAAAAAAAGAAGACAAGCTTTCAGAATGGTAAAGAAAAAAACAACAAAACAAAAGTAAACTCACCAATAAATGAACTGAATTGAGGAGACAATGCATGTGTTCTAAATGTAATGAACACACAACACCCACACATTTTCAGACATATAATCTTTTGCCTGTTTGTACGCCCAAAGTAGCAGCGGCAGTATACACAATCAGTTACAATCAAGTACGCAACTCCTTAAAACAGTGAGGACAGAGACAAGTAGGTCAGAAAAAACAGTCAGATTCGAGGACATGTAGAAAGACAGACTGACACAAAGGCCGACATGCTGAGAGCACCGACAGGCAGACAGACAGACAGCTGTCAGCTAGACAGGCAGATGCGCAGAGGACAGGTTGTGACTTTAAACCGGTACACAAGACTTTTGTCCTAGAATGTGTTAACATATTTCTGTCAAATACATCTGTCTGTGCGTACATGCATTGGTGGATGCGTTAGACTGCTAATTGAAGCGCACCCTGGCTGTATTTAACGTCAGAGGACTTTTACCAGTTTTAGCCTTGGAAAAGGTTTTCAGACTGAGGGAATATAAAAGTACAAGCACCGGAGGAGGGACTGCTATGTGTCAATCAAACCCAGTGCCGTCGTCAGGGGAGGAGCTGTTGCTGGGTGATAAGGTCACCGCAGGCAATAGAATCAAAATCATTGACTGCAGAAAAGAAATGAATTAAATAACAGAGAGCGAGAAAAGGGGACAGTACTTATAGCTAACGCCGAAGAGCAGGAGAGAAGGCAGGGTTTGTAATAAAAGTGGCTGGGTGGCCTACATTAAAACAAAAACTATCCGGAGAGAATCGAGCTGAGCTGTAGGAAAGAAAAGCACTTTATCACAGGCGGAAAAAATATAGAAAAAAAAGGAGATGTCAGAAAACAACTGGTAATAAAGTGATACTTCTAAAATAATGTAAAATGAATAAGAGATGCCTGCTAGCGACGCTTGAGGCATTCCTGTGCTTTGCATTTTGAGCATTTCTATGTTTTTTTTGAATAATGACAGATAAGTTAAAATAATTCAGCTTGCTTATTTAAGAATATAATTTATTAGTATTTCATGTTGAAACTTTGCTTAACAAGTCACAGTAATACTTTTATTGTTTTTGAAGATACTGACTAATCTTTTCATGCCAAACCAAACCAAACCATCTGGGAGCTCTTCTAGCCGTGCAATGGAGCTAAATAGCTACTTAATAAGATAATACATAAATTTCTTTTCAGTTATTGTTTTGGTTTGGCTGGATTTTTCATGTCACTACCACATTCCTGTGTGTGTGTGTTGTCCCAGACAAAGTGTATCAGTAAATAGAGTAGGATGTTGGTATGTGTCACAAACTGATGGACACATGTTTACCACACAAACACCGCACTGACATTTGTGTGTATGTGTGTGATGTTGTCCCACTGTAGGTTCCTGTTTAGGTGAGGGCCACATAGACAGGCAGGTAGACAGACCAATCACTCGTCTGACAGGCACCCCTCCCTCCATACATCGCACTGGGTTGGCTCAGCGAGAGGTGGAGGGCCAGGCTGTGTAATATGTAGGTTTTAGTTCCACTCTGGTGAATAGGAGGAATCGATATCTTGCTGCTGCTGCTTCCAACACTTATTGGCTTTGGTTGCGGTGTCACAATGCTATACAGACAGGCAACACTTAATACTGCTTTTTTTATTGGGGAGTGTCCTGGTGTCACACCAGACTAAGGTACATCCAGTGCCATGTACACGTGATGTTGTTAGTTTGAATCCCCACCTTGGCCTTCCAGTCGCATAAAGGCTGTTAAATGAATTGTGTATCCTTCCGCAGGTCAACATAACAGACAAAATAAATATACAGTAGAGATTAATAAACACAAAGAAAAAAGGACGAGATTAGGCTGACATTTAAAGAGGGAAGTAACTTAACAAACATTAGCCTAAACCTGAGTTTACCAAGTGCTGAGATAAATCACTAGCTAAAAGGCAAAAGGCCTTTTGGATTTTCTAGAAGTCACCTCCTGTCTGCCACTTGCATTGACCCAGGTAACTAAAACTGTTAGGGAATACAAAGAGATTCTGTTTTATTACATAAACCTTATGGCAAGGTAATCTGATATTTTCTCGTGACTTTATTATTATTAATATTAAATTCAGGCTAAAAAGCATCTTTAAATTAGAAAATCATTTAAATCAGGCATTAACACCAGCTTGAAAGCGGCTACAGAAAAATCTTGCAAGAGAAAAAGTACAATACACATCGTACTGGCACAGTACTAAATACATATAAAGCAGAAACTGATATTTAACAAATTAAACATTTTTCACTTCCTGAATAGATTCATATTATTTTGAGGAACCTTTCATTTTCATTAAAAAACATAACTTACACATACAAAAATTAATAGCTCAGGTCATAAATATTTATATACGCATACAAAATAAAAGGAGAGAATAAAGGGTAAGAGTATTAACCTATGTGATTCTACCTAACCTATTTCACGCTGCTGTCAGTACATGTAAGCAGCACCAGCACACACACAAAAACACAATGTGAGTGTGTTGTGTAAAAGTAGGGAGATCTTGGGTGTCTTTCTGATGCTCAGTGACTCGCTCATGTGTTGCTGGCCCATCTGTGAACAGAATGACCATGACACAGTATGTGTGTGTGTGTGTGTGTGTGTGTGTGTGTGTGTGACATGGTGATGCAGTGATTGATGAGACAGTTGCCATCCTTGCTAATGCAAACGCACCTATCCCTGAAGGGAGCAAATGCCACAACACCACACGCACGCACACACACACACACACACATATACAGGGCTGCAACTGCCCTACCTAATTACCCCTCTAGTCTAGCAGTTCGATGTCTATATATGTAATAAATATCCACAAACATGCCTAAATGTAGTTTCATAAACAGTTGCATAGGTGACATATGAACCGATTAATGCCAGAACAAAAAAGTAAGACCGCCTTTTCAGCATAAAAAAAACAAGGAGATCTGGAGTCCATCATTGTGAAGTAGAAGAAAATCTGTTTTCCTTTTATTCCGTTTATGTTCTTAAAACTTCCCAAAAAAACTGTGGCTCTTGATTTAAAATTTTTTCATTACTGGGCTCCTAGGTAGTAAACGCTGTTGAGACATGACTGCACAAAGTATAGTTAATCTAATGTCAGACAATTGTTAAAAATGTAAATTTAATATGTGCATGTTTGATATTATTATGAGATATTTGTAAACAAAGTATCATGAGGAGTTTGACATTTGTGTGTGTGTTTGTTTGTCTGTTGGGGAGACATTAAAATGATCATTAGATAATGACAAATACTAAAACTAAAATGTGTATGAAATACAAATGTGTGTGAATATGTTTCTCTACATGTGCATCAGGGCAGGTGGGGTTCGACGCAGCCCTTTGTGTGTCTTGACTGGATGTGGATGTGTGTGTGCGTTAGTGCTAGCGACGGGAGCTGTTAGCGGGGCAGGTGGCAGATGGGCTGTCGGCCTTAATAGGGACTGAGCGGGTGCAGAAAGGTGACAGCTCCACCAGGGAGGGGCGTGTGGGGAGGAATGTGTGTGGGGGTGAATGGTGAAGAAAGACTTGGATAAAGGGGAAATGAATTATCTACGGAGGTCAAGAAAAGTGCGGATCATCCGCACAGAGGAATGCACCTCCTGAGGGCAAGAAGCGTTTATGTTTAATGCAATATAAACACTTGTTGTGTGTATATGTATCTATACATATTTTTGCAAAAAAAAACCCCAAACATTTTACACCTTCTTTGTAAATTAGCCAATGCCAAAAGTATTAAATGTTTGTCCTAATGACACAGATGTATTTCTACAATTTCACTTAGAGAAAATAGACATAATTGTTTCTGAATATGAAAAAGCTGCTGTCAACTTCAAACAGTACCACAGCATATCTAAAAAGGTTTGAAAACAGTGATGGGGCTGTGGGCATTTCCGAAAGGGCCAGTCCTCCTTCATCTCATTAGATATGTTTTGTGGTTATGTTGAAAAAAGCCAAATGCGACTTACGCGAAGTAATGTGAAAATGTAATGCGCTGCTAGTTTTCACAACTACAACTACAAGTCATTTAAGTCTGCACCTGCTCAGACAGTTAAAACACCCACAGAAACAAGAGCCATACCTGCATTTGCATTTTTCTTTTATTGTTACACACGGATACAGTGTTGCACATGTGAACAACATTGTGTATGAAGATGTGACATATTCACACACCTGTGCACAGTTATGTGTCAAAGCAGAATCGCTGGGACAATATGAGGGGCAAAACGGGAACACTGTCAAGCTGTTTGCTCAGTTTTAAAATCATTCTATGACATAAACCAAAGTTAATAAAATTACTGTTTTGCGATTGCTTTGTTAGAATATTATGGTGTTGAATATTATGGTGAACGTTTGTAAAAAAAAAAAAAAAAAAAAGTTTGAAGGCATGGCTAATTGTGGAAAATTTAAAACCCTTTTTTTTTTTTTTTTTTTTTAGGATTATGTTCTTTTCCTTTATCACA